ACCTTGAAAAGGCACAGCAATTACTACCACACATGCAAGATAAATTATCACCAAAGCTAAGGCTTGATTTCCTGAGATACAGCAGCCAGACTGGAACATTAGGAACTGGGATGAGTTCTGAGATAAGATGGTAGAGTCAATAAGACAAATGTGTAAATAAAAAGCTCCATTTGTCAGGGCAAAAGCTGTATTTTGATTGTGAGAAATTAGATTTTGCATTTCAGGGAAATACACACCACGTCCTCCCACAAATGGGGAAGCTGGTTTCAAACATGAGGAGCATCAGGAGCATCTATTACTTTAAAAACTCATAATTAATTATTGTTCAAAATAAGCTGTTGGCGTTGGCTTAGCCTGTGAGATCCTCAAGGTGGCACAGTCTTGTAGCTGTGCTTATGCACCTACCATGACAAGGGCCTGATAAAAATAGAAGCTCAAATAACCAAAGTCATTACACACTCACATAGATATATGCAGCTTATGCAGACATTACTGCCAAAGAAAGTTATTCTTCCATAAAGCCAAGGACTGGATCTTGCTGCCCCCAAAATGAGAATTTTACTCTAATCACATAAAAAGAACAACTTCATAAACACAGGAAGAAAGGGAGAAATGATGCTTCCTGTGGGAAGGAAGTCCTTTTAAAGACAGAATAAACTGATGCAGTCAGGAGGAGGAAAAAAAAAAAAAGCTTGTATATGCAAATAGACATTTATTACCCATATTTGTACTCCTAAGAAATATAATTTACTGACCTTTGAGAGATGGGTCAAATAGGCCCATAGAATAAGAAACAAAGGCATCTTTTTGGCAACTACCATGTTCCAGAGCAATAATTATCCTTTCCCCTCTCCATGAGCAGCAGGAAATGAAGAGGGATGCCATTACACCATGACAATTACTGTAATTTTAATTTCTAAATATTGCTAGGAAAGTTTCCTCAAAAAAAAAAAAAAAAAAAGTCTGTTCAGATTTTTGATGTGGTTTTAGATAAAAACTCATTCCCTAGCTAACGCAGAGCTGTGCTTCCCCTCCTCCCACTCCCTTGGGGGAACCACCCACAAACTCCGCAGGGTGAGAAAAACCCACTTTCCTCCCCATTAGTGGAGAAGAGAGAATTGCAGAGAATCACAGAACGGTTTGGGTTGGAAGAGACCTTAAAGATCATCCTGTCCAACCCCCTGCCATGGGCAGTACCACCTTCCACCACCCCAGGTTGCTCCAAGCCCCATCATTTGAACTTGTTCAACCATGGGCACAAAACCAGATTCTATCAAAAGCTGATGATGTTGGATGCACAATAATTATTTTTAAAAAATTTAAAAAATAAGGATTCTTTTCATCTCCTGTGCTGAGAAACATTATTTGCTCTGCTGTGGATTTTCCACAGTCTACCATTAAGTATTTTAATACTATAGATAATCAATTCTGTGCTAGTAGAACATTATATTATATCCAGTTGTTGCACTGTGGGATGGATTTCACCCTAGAGAACATATCTGGTCAGCTGTCCAACCTCTCCTGCCACTGACCACACTGTCCCAGCTCCAAGAACACCTGAAATATTCCCATTCCTACACTGGACTCTGCCTGGGAGGAGGAGTTTGCACCTTGGTGCATCTGTTCAGGGGGAGAAGGGAGATTTGAAGCCCATCTGCCCAAAACCACTCAGGAGCAGAGATGACCATATCCCCAAAACTCTGCTGTAGGCTGCACCAGCAATTCCCATAAACTGAAACTGCCTTTCAAAATGCCCCTTAATTAGCCTTTTGAGGTCTCATTTTGTCGCCAGTAGGCGAAGACTCAAAATTACTTCCACAGATTCAAGGGAAAGAGCTTTTTTCCTTTTTATATTAATTGTTGCCACAAGGCAGGTTCAACAATCATCATTTAGTGTAGTAAAAAGTTGTGTCTTTCAATATATGCACCCATAGAATTCCATTGATTTGTCTATACACAAACACATTCCTACAAACATATATTTGATTAAGAATTTATATAACTTCAGGCTTCAAGGAGTTTTGGATCAATGGTTTTATTTTGCCTTTATAAACAAATAAACTCAATTAAAGAGTACTTACAACAAACCACAATGGGCAGGAAACTAATTTTCCCAAGGCTTGCCATGGCAATTTTTACCTGTTACATAGGTCTAGGGAATCAATTACTCCCTAAAGGGAAATTATTAGGGCTTGTGTTACCCAACATCTCACCTTTACCACTCACCAGTGGGATAGAAGTATAGGGACAGGCATCCAGAAAAACGAGTATTCTTCAGACCTCTTACAATTTGCTGTAATAAATTAAAGTATAAATAAAAGAGAACAAAGCCCTGCAGGCAGGCAGTGCTTGAGTCAAGGCTGGATCTGCACCAAGTCACTGTGCACCTTCACAAGGCCCATAAATCAGCTCTCCTGAACATATGTAGTATTTTGCATTACTCTATAGGGTGTTAACTTTAATGCCTTAATATATTCACATAGTGGTCAGGTTACAGGTCCTGTGGGAACCATAAATTTGTGTGTCCTGACCAATCTGCTGCTGGAAAAAAAAAAAAAATAATAATAAGTTAAAACTAACCACAGCACCACATTGCCTTCAGTAGGTTTTACACCTTTAATTTTTCTCCTTTTTGAGGGAGTAAGAAGAGAAGATGTGTGAAGCTGCAAACATACAGGGAAGCTGAAGCAGATGTGAATTAATTTTCATCCCTTTTGTGCATGAAGGCTTGTGTGTCCCCAGCCCAAGCAAATGTCACTGCCTGAAAAAGATTTGCTCTTGGGTGTCATCAAGCCTTTTTCTGAGTCAGAACCCTCTCATCCAGGACATGCTACTACCTCCTTTTTTGTGACCCACCAAAGCCACTTCACCTGCAAATGACAGCTACAAGGAAAAACAACCTGAGCTGATCCAGTTTAACCCAATTTCTGCTGATTCTGCCTGACCCCCACCAAACTGATCCTGCTATAATCTCCCAGTCATTGGATTCCTACCTGGTTTAAGGCAAAGGGAGTTGTCTCTGTCCCATTCTTCCTCCAGCCTCCTTTTGCTCCAACCTCACCATGACTCACATAAAGATTTGAGTATTTTTTATCTGGCATCCTAATTTTTTCCCCATATTAAAGCTCTGTTTTCTTCCAAAGAAAGTTGGTTTTGGAGTCACCAAGCAATTTCAACACAGGAAAAAAAGCTGGTTTCATCCAGGCTTGCTCCCTGTGCCAACAATTTGCAGTAATTAGCATTTTTCATTCTGTTTGCACTGGTTAATGGCCAGCAGTGTCCCACATCCTGTGGAGCAGCCAGGGCCATGGTAGTACCAGAAATGGTAGTCCAGGCAAGAACAGAGCTGTTCCCTTCCCTGCAACCCACTCCACCAAGAGCAGTCAAACACAACTGGTTAAAAGCCCAAGAAGTGATGCAATACAGACGGCGTGAAAACAAATCAAGGTTAATTTGCATAAAATGACCCAATAAATATTTAATGTACGTATGACTTGACCACAGTTACAAGATGTGCTATTTATGCCCCTGCTCAACACAGATCACCAGCTGGTGGACAAAACCAGACTGTTAATTTTTATAAACACACAGCTGAAAAGCAACATCTGTGCACAATCTCTCCACAGGTAGCAGTGGGAACCCTCACTCTGGATAAAGGAATTCATCAGCCCTTTGGTACCTAAATTTCATTTCACTGACACCCACACCAAATAAGCAGCAAGGTCTAACGTAGAATTGTATTTGTTTGAAACTTAGTTAATATTAAAGCTTTGGTCCATTGATCTGCACTAATGATGGGGTTTTCAGTGGCACCATTCCACTCTTTTTTAAAGAGAATCATCAATTCAAAGTTACAAAGTACAACTATTTCTCACATACCTTAAGGAAGTAGTAGAAAAACCAGGTGGCACAAGGTAGGGAGAGAAAAGTCATTAGGAAAGCAGAAAACCTGCTGACTGCCCCTTAAATGATAAAAAGTATCCAAAATATCAGAGATAATCACTGAAATTAGACATGGAGTTTTGGGTTTTGGTGGCACAATATCAGCTGAAAATGCCTACAAGTTTCCTAGTATGTAGATTTGAGAGGACAACCTAATCTCTGTTGAACCCTTACTTCAGCCAAACGATCTCCTGGCATCCAAACTCTCTTGGAAATCTGTGGAGATTTCTTAAACACACATACACATCTAGATATTAAATCTATAGTACTTTGCATTACTATTTATGAATGACTACACATTTTTTCTGTATGTATACATATAAACTTACACTAAAATATCTTTATAGTCTTAATAATTTGCATATGTTCACTGGCACACATGCACCTAATTATATTTTATATATATATATTCATATAAATGTACAAATAAATGAAATATGTGCATCATATATGGAGGAATCAGAGTATATATGAATATCTATGCACAAATTAGAATAAATATATATACTCTGATTCTATATAGTATTTATTCATTGAAAAATTTCCTAATATGGGCTAAAAAAGAAGAAAAAGGCTCAATTTGCATATGTATATAGTAGTTAACCACAGTGCAGTGTAGCCAAAGAAAGCAGAATACCTAATCCTTCTCAAAACTGGGGACAGATTTGATAAAAACTCTTCTTAATTTTCTTTTATGAAATTGTCCTTGGAATGTGATTTAACCACACCTACAAGCCCAGCTTCCAGGAAAAGGGTGTGTAGGACTGCTTTTTGATATATTTCATAGCAGACAAAACTCCCCTCAAGAATAGAAAAACAGCCCCATGAGGACAGAAAAGCAGAGAATAATTAAACAGGTTTTACATAAGTCTTTTTCCCTGAGTCCTGTTGTCTCCCACCTCCAAAGACATCACACATCTCTATTGGAAAATCACCTCACTGGTTTCAGTGGAGGCAGTGGAGGAGCTCCAAGCTCTTCAGCATCATTAGTGGGGTTAAAAAACAGCTTTTTTTAGCACTGTACTTACCTCCAAACACAGAGACACTCATGAACCTACCTGTTTGGTGCTTCTCTGCCCAGTAGGAAGCAAAGATTTGGATTTCTCTGCTATTTTCTGTTAAAAGGAAAAGAAAAAAAATTCAGAGGGAAAATGGATAAGAAGAGTCCAAATATTTAGGGAAAGAGACATATGAAGCTATTTTCTTCTACTTTCTAAAGAAAAGGACATGGAGAAAGCTCTTACTCTTTAGGAAAAAAAACAAGGGAGTATAAAAGCATTGAAAACTTCAGTCTTGCAAGCATTAAAAGTCTTCAAAGCTTCCAGAATGACAAGGTTATCAAAACTGAAACAGGCATTTAGGGAATGACAGCCAGGACGTGGATAAGTAGCAATTTATCACTCAGATTGTTTTCCCGACGCAGCCGGGCATTCACAAACTGCAGTGGTTAATTTTGGCACTTCTGAATTGATGACAGTTTTTAAAATAAAAGAAATCCAATCCTGTATAGTTCAGATGGACTGTACTCATGAACATTAGGGGGGAAAAAAGCATAAAAAAGATGTGTGTGTGTGTATACGTGGGGGTGGATCTCCTTACCCAAATAATTCCAACTTCTCATTTAACACATAAAATAATTTCATTTAAAGATCCCATACTCAGTTGCTTGAATAGGACAGGTAAATAATTTAAAATATGAGGCAGCACTAGAGATGATGCAATTCTATTACACAACAGACACGCTGTTGAACTGCAATTTTATGTACATCCATTTATTTATTTAATTTTTAAGGCACAGGCAGCAAGTGCTTGGAAATCAATCAGTCCAGAGTGTTTCTAATAGAGACACATTATTAAGTGCATGTTGCCAGCCAAATTTCATTACACCTCTGTAATTACAATATATCCTTCCCATTGTTGCAGGCATGCGTCAGACTCATTAAAGCGATATACCAAAGCCACCAGAGTTTGTCCAGGTTGTATTTTGATTAATCCAGATATATCTCCTAACTTGCACTGCCAGGGAGGGATGCAGTTTGGGGATGCTAAATTTAAGTCATTACTACAGTGTTTAAAAGCAAAGCAAATCTGTTCATCAGCAGAGCCTCCCCAGGGTAAAGAGGGTGAGCAAGAAGCTAATGAAGGAACTGGAGTTTAGGCTTTGTTTGTTTTATTAAACAGCTTGATCTTGGTGACAGATCCCTGTTGGAAAAACGTTCTGTAACATTCCAACAGATCCCAACCACAAGATGTGCCTGGAAACTTTCTGGCACAGCCAAACAGCAAAGCAGAGCCAGAAGGTGGGATAACACTTGAATTATCTGTGCTGCCTGCACATTTTCTGCAAGCAGAAAAGGTGAACTGTGCAATCACCTCTCCCCTAAGAGTGGAGGCACACCAAAATAATGTCATGGCTAAGCCAGGGGAAATACTTCCCCCTGAACTCAGCACTGGGGAGGCCACACCTCAAATCCTGGGGTCGGTTTTGGGCCACTCACAATGAGAAGGGCATTGAGGGGCTGGAGCGTGTCCAGAGGAGAGAAAGGAGCTGGGGAAGGGGCTGGAGCACAAATCTGATGAGGAGCAGCTGAGGGAGCTGGGGGGGCTCAGCCTGGACAAAAGAAGGCTCCAGGGAGACCTCACTCTCTACAATTCCCTGACAGGAGGGCAAAACCAGGGTCAATGTCCATTCCCAGGGAACAAGGGATAGGACAATCACGCTCCCCCAGGGGAGGTTTAGATTGTGTATTTGGGAACATTTCTGCAGAGAAAAGCTTGTCAAGCACTGGATAAGGCTGTCCAGGGAAGTGGTGGAGACACCATCCCTGCAAGTGTTCAGTAAATGTCTGGATGTGGCCCTTAAGGACATGGTTCAGGTGCATGGCTGGATTTGATGATCTTAGAAGTTTTTTCCAACCTAAATTCTATGACACTATGATTGCTTGACTGACAAAGAAAGAAAAGGGGGAGGAAACCATTCACTAGCAGCCCTGTGGAGATGCTCTTAAGATTACACTTAACACATTCCCAGATTCCCAGATGGGACAGTGGAAGCAGGAGGGATACTCACCTTCTGCACAGCTCCGTATCTCTGGATGGCATCAGACAGCTGGTTCTTCAGCCTGTCCAGCTGAAGCCTTTCTTGCTGTATTGGGAATAAAAGAAGGCTGGTTAGCAGATCTGTCAAGAGATAAATCCTGTAGTAGGCTCTGTCTGTGACCATGGGAAATTGTCCTGGTGGGAGACACCAAATAAATAAGGTGGGTACCAATGGTATCCTAAAAGAATCAGTCACACTGGGGCTGCCAGGATGCAATAGGATTTTATTTCAGGAAATGTGGTGCTTTGGTCTTTCAGGCCAGGTTAAATAAAAAAATGGCACTTTGAATATTCAATAGAGCATTGGAGAAAATAACTGAAGGGATCTTTCTACAAAATGTTCTTTTCCCAGATGATAAATCATGATAGAGTTGTTCACCTTATTTGGGAAATTTACTGGACTTGAAAAGTCAAACAGCCACAACACAACAGCCCCTCTCCTTGGTCTGACTGTCAGAAACCAGCTTATCTTCATGTTTTCCAAAACATGAATCCAAATATCACTGCCTTTATGGCTGGAGCTTGCTCCAGCAAGGGTTTTATCTATGTTTTAAAAAACCCCTAGTGTTTAAAAAAACCCCTAGTGCTACCTGTGTTCTTAGAAGGAAGAGCACAGCCTATGTAAGAATCCAACATGCTTCCAAATCTCTGCTCTCAGAGGGAATGACCAAACCCAAACAGTTCTCCCAGGACAGTTCTACACCCTGGATTTCAGATTTCACATATTCAGTGCTCACATGTCCAGATTTTACAGTGGGAAATGCTGCAAGGAAGTGACATATCACCTTAAAAAAAAAAAAAGAAAGAAAAACAAAATTCAGTCTACACTAAAGCTACTAAGCAGAAATGTTCACTTTCCAGCCATTTCAGCTGTTTCAGAAAACTGCTTGGGATCACAAAAGTAGATTTTATAAAGGATGGGATAAACATTTTTTAATTTTAATGGCAGTATTTTCACACACAGAATATCCCAGTTCTTCATCTAAAGATTTAAAAACATTTTTCGAGCAGGGCAAGTGTCATTATTCCCATTCTACAGATAAAGGTCCATAAACCGTATGTTTGTTCCACATGCAAAATAAGAGAAGATTGTCACCGTGGAGAGCAGATCTCCTGCTCCAGCACTCACCCTACCAAAAAATGGAATTCCAGATCTACCTCTCTATTTCCATCCTCTGAGGTTAGTTTGGAATGAAGCCCTAAAAGAGCCATTTTCTTCAGTCTCCTGCCTTGTGGCACACTGATCCACTTAGAGCAGCATCTTTGCTCCTGCAATACTATCAATTTGCTCAGCTGGGCATCCTGACTCCAATATCTCCAGCAGCACTTGGAGATTTATGGGAAGTCAGAGAAAGAGCCATATTGCATCTCCTTGGCAGTGCATTACTTGTGGAAAATAAGGAAGAAAGGGGGGAAAAAAGACTTTTTTTTTTTTTTTTCTGTGTGTGCATGCAAACAATCCACAGAAAAATGGATTGTTGAGGACTAACTATAAAGCTCTGTAAGGCTTTTCATGCTGTGAGTAATTTTATGGGAGGAGAGTTTGCAGTGGTACCCAGATTTCCATGAGGCACTTACTGACCAGCAGCCAATATCCACCAGAACAATTTCTTCTATGTAAGGGGCAGTGGCTACAGGCTTTCTATCAAAATTTGTAGGTTTAATTACTAATTTTCTACTGTTAAAAGAAGAATTAAAGAAAAAAAAGTTAAATTAATTGACCAGTGAGCAGAAAAAAGTTATTATACAATGTAATAGAGAGCAGTAAGTTTATTCCTTATATTACTGAAATGGTTTTTGTGTCTATTTCCTTCAGCTCTTAAATATTTTCCCTTCAACTTTGCATTTTTTGTCCGCAAGACAGTAAAACCTCTTCTCCTGAGAGTCCCCATGGGCTTCAAGGGCAAATAATACATTCTTGTGTGGCACTGTAATTGAGTTTAATGTGACCTTGCCTGATTCCCCTTTGGACCCAATTTATGTCACAAAATAGAGCCTGGGGATCAGCACAATAACAAAACAAAAAAAAAAAAAAAAAAAAAAAAAAAAAAAAAAAGTCCAGATCCCCATATCTCCAAGGCAGCATCTTCTGTTTCATCAAGCTCAGAAGTAATTATGCAAGAAAACAAGAACAAAAACAAAAACAAAAAAAAACACCAAAAACCAAAACCAACAAAACTGTTCCTCCATCCAACACTATTCAAAGCAATATGTTAAAAATTATTCTTGTATTAATCTTGATGCCTACATGTGGAAACAGTCATTCCAGGCTCCCCTCCCCATCCTCTGGAGCAGATCATCACCCATTGGTTTTTTTTTTTAGGCAGGCTGAGTTGCACATGGTCCTTCACAGGTTATAAAGGTGGCCTCGGGTGATCCAAGTTTTAAATCCTTATCTCAACTGCCTGTTGGCAAGTGCCATAAATCCAGGCTGTAAAAACCACTTGGTCAGAGATGAGTTGTGTGTTTAAAGCAGTCTTATTTCTAGGTGGAAAGGCAGTGAGAACAGGTTGAAGTAATACAGGACTTTGGAAAATGGCAGGTAGTGAAAGAAAATAAAACATGAACTCAGGGAAGTTCCTGACTTAGAAACTATATGGATGCTGGAAGCAAGAGTGTAACCAAAATCAAGTAAAATTGTCCTTATTTTCATTTCAGGTGCTGAATGTCATGTGGGTGAAAATTCTCCTTTAACTCTCTAGCTGGAATCTGGTCCCCACAGTTTGCTTGTGTTCTTGCCCATGATGCCAAGTCAACAGTAACATCTTGGGTATAAAATCATTGTTGGAAGGTCCAAAACCTTCTGTTTGTCCAGTCCTTGCACTGGGGACAATGGGATGGGGATCATTCTTACCCTGTGACACTGATGCTGAGTTGAACCTAGAGATGACAGCCCAGTCTGCACACAAAACAGATGGAATTTTCTGGGATAAATGGGAATTTAGAGTAGGGGTAAATTCTCATTTAAAGTCCTGCTCTGATTTGGCCACAGCCTGTATTTATCTACCCCCAATGCTGCCTTTTTCACTAGCACACAGCACTGAAGCAGTGTCATATCCAGATATATTCCATGGCTTTGGCCTTTCCAGACACTTAACACATTCCCAAACTCACCTGCACCCCATGACTGAGTCTTTAACCAATGCCACACTCACGTGAAGCCAGAGGATTTCTGCAATATTTTCACCCAAACTGAGACCCTGAGATAAATATGAACTGGCCAAAGGCTTTGCTGCTAAGTTCTTGATTTCCAATTCTATGTGATCCAGTTTTGGGAAGGGAACTGATGTCTGCAGCTGTTTTCCCTTGGGTCATTTATAAGTGAAAACTACACTTGTTTGAGAAGAAGGGAAGATATATCAAAACACAGAGCTTAAGAGCTTTAAAGCACCCACTGCCACTTCTTATTTTCATTATTCCTCCTTCCACAAAACCCATTATTCTCCCCCAACAGCATCTTGACTGACACATACCCTGGATGAGCCTCTGACAACCTCAGACAGCTGCTTGATGGCTTTGGTGCTAGTCGTGATGGTTTTATTAGTCTCCTGCTGGGTGGCATGCCTGCAGAAGAGAAGAGATGATGGGAATTGCAATTGAAATTAATTGCATAATGAGACACTTGGAGAAATCTATCAAGCTGCAGAGCAATTGAGACAACACAACAACAGCAGCACACAGAGGCTCAGGAGGGCTGCAGGAGTCCTGGGTCTTGACCAGCAGTGGAAGCCAGAAGGAAATACTGGGAAGGAGCTGCCCAAAATATTCTTCCTGCTGTCAGCACAAAGACAACGCCTGTGAACCATTCAAAGAGAAGTGATGAGGTGAAAACAGGGGGTGGACAGGGAACAAGGCCATCACAGATGATTGCTACTGCAAATTTTCAAGAAAGGGTTGTACAGCAAAAGGAGACAGGACTGGGGAGTTGCCTGATGGCTTGCCCAGAAAAAATATTGTTCTCAGGAGAGAAATCTGAAATTGAGCAGGACAAATTCACTTACCCTGGTCATCCACCCTTTAATGACACAGTATCTCCAGGAAAGCACTGGGGATGTGAAGGTGCAGAGCTGCTTCACCAGCACTGAAACAGGCAGGAATGGAGCCACCCTTCCACCCTTCCAGTCACAGGTCTCCCTCCTTTTTACACCCCAAATTCCAGTACCATTATTCCTTGTAAGCACTGATTGCTGGCCTAGCTCTTGGGATCATATAAACAAGTGGGAAGAGACATAAATGCTTCCCAAAGGTATATATTAGCTCAGTCCAGTAGTTCTCAAGCTTTCTAAGGTCAACAGGGCACTCTCGGCTTCTAAGCTTCTCCAGAGAGCACTTCATATCCTTTCAGTCAGAAAGAAGTGGTTTTCCGCGAGGTTTCATTCAAAACCTCAAGAAATACCTGGAAAAGACCTGGAGAAAATGATGTTTTTTCTCCCTCTGAGGACACACACAAGCATGAGCCACAGTTGTATCGAAAACACTAATTTGTCTGTGCTTTTTTTTTTTTTTTTTTTTTTTTTGAGTGGTGAGATTTGAACTGAATCTTTGATTAAAAAATGTCAAAATGTCTATTCATGGTCCCTCAGTCCTGAAGACCCATGGCTTGTCCTGTCCATTCAGCTCCTTCCTTCTTCTCTGTCAGTTCTGATGGAGAGCACCTCTTTTGAGAGCTAGGTCAGCTCTTCCAGCACCTCCTTTGAAGATCAAGACCAGTCCCCAAACAGCTTTTACCAAACACAACCTTAACTACAAAAACATCGAGACCTCTCTTGTTGAGGTCTTAATCCAAAGTTTGGCAGTTCCTTCCCCACTTCAATGGTTTTGTGCAAACAGCTTAGCTGGGAAAGCTGTCCAGGCTCATGGAATCATAGGATGGCCTGGGATGGAAAGGACCTCCAAGCTCATCCATTTCCAACCCCCTGCCATGGGCAGGGACACCTTCCAGTGGACCAAGTTCCTCCCAGCCCCATCCAACCTGGCTGTGGACAATTTCAGCGATGGGGAAGCCACAGCTTTTCTGGGCAACATCTGCCAGGGCCTCCCCACCCTCCCAATAAATAAAATTACACTTCAGTTCATACAAGGTACCTGCAAGTGAAAGCTTAGTACACATGAAGACAACACCTCTTAGTTGCACAACAGGAATTCAGACGTGTGCCAATGGTTGAACACTCACACAGAAGTCATGGACTCCTCTGGCACCACACAAGAAGGAGAAATAATCCCAGGTAAAGAAAAAACTAGATCCAATAACGAGTTATTACCTCTGTTGATTTAAATTAAGATACAATTTCTGTGTTAATTTGCCAAAACACACTTCATTTACTGATGATCCCAGGACCCACCACAACAGTTGAGCAATTACATCACTTTTAATTTGAGATGGAAGAGGTCATATCTATCACAGACCGGTATTCCACACTGCCATGGTGAGAGAGGGAGCTGGGAATTGAATCCTGTCACATTGCTAACATTGAGGAGTGCACAGTCAGCTTGATCCCCAATCTCTTAATCAAGTATATCCTGCCACCAAATGCATGAATTCTACAAGCAGCAGATTCAAATCTCAGATTTCCATACCTAATTCCTCTCAACGGAAAGCAAGATGCTGGAGTTGACATCCATTTTGCAGACCTCATTAAATTATCTGCCCACAGAATAACTCAGGGATTTACATACCACTAATTCCCCATCCCCAAAGTAAAATGGCTTGTTAGGCTCCTGCATCTGATCCTTCCCAATATCTAAAGTTAAATAAAGCCTTCTTCATTTGCATTGTAATGTAAATTTTATGTTAGATATCTTACGTAATAAATTCATGCTGGGCACGAACTTTACTCTGCTGGAAAAATAAGTGGGAGCAAGAGTACAAAAAAATAAAAGTTCTGCCTTCCAGCTCTTAATTCAAAATGCACTTTAACCAACATGCTGGTGCTTGATTTTGGCACTTCCCACTATGTTGTCAGCACAATTAACTTCTTATTCTTCAGTCTCAGAGATGCGCTCAGGAATCAGACAATGATTATATTTAATTTACATTAAATGCTATTAAGATCTTAATTTAAAAAAAAAAAGCCATCTCAAAACACTGCTTCCTGCAGTATTTTATTTTAATTTGTAATGGTAATAAGATATGCTGCTGTTGATGTTGCTTTTGTTGTTTTTTTTTTATTATTAGTATTAACAGCATTATTAGTATTATTATCTGTCTTTATATTCTGCTCCCCATGGAAGTGTGGAAGTTAATTAGAGGGGTGTCTCTCATGAATAAAATTTCCTTCTCAAAAGAGTCCTCCACACAACAGTAAGTTAATACTCCATCTGTGGAGCTGCCAAGCACCTAAAATCCAAACACAGTAAAAGATTTACCTGTCTACAGCTCTGCTCTGAAAACAAACCCTGGCAGGGTGAACACCAGAGAGGGCATCTCTTAGGAGGGGTAAACATCTCTTGCTGAGCATTTCTGCGTGCACAAATGCTGCAAAGACAAAGCACTAAATAATCCAGGAGATGCCAAACTGCTGCCTACGAGATCCCCGTGGCTGCTGTTTCCTCTGCTGGAGGAGCACGGTCCAGCGAATCCCTGATCCCCAGCTGCTCACAGTTTGTTCTTTGGACGATCATCTCTCTAATTTATTTATCCAGTTTTAAAAGGAGCTCTGCGAAGAGGCAGATGCGGCGGCGGCTGCTCCCCCCCTCCATCCGCAGGGACACCGGGAAGGAGCTGAACTTCTGCCTCTGCTGCTTCTTTGAGACTCTTGATGAATGGCCAAGCCAGTGGAAAAATAATCAGACCCCAAGTGCAAGAGCAAACACCGGCAAGGGAAGGAGTTTTCTGCCTCCCCATGCCTGCCGATACTCACAAAAATCCCAAAGAGCTTCGTTTTCCAGCTCCAGCAGGAAATGCCATTTCCACTCATAAAACAAGATACGGCTTATTTTATTTTCACCTGATCCCTAATGGAAGAGCAATAATGCATTTTTCAGGTACAGATCAAAGATACCTTTGCTGTAGTGGTTTGAACATCATTAGATTCAGAATCCCCCTTTTTAGCACAGGGCAACTGCACAGCAATGGAGTCATTTTTGCACTTAAGAGTGGTCAAGTAGGATGGGCAAGAATTAAACCACATAGCTCAGCATAACTCAAAACTTGTCTTTTTCACAAGCTGCTGCAATATTTACTGCAGTTTTCTTATCCAAAAAGAGGTAAAAATCAGAGTACTTTGAGCACAGCACTGAGCTGCAGGATCTGTGGCTTAAGCAGGTTGAGCAGCTGCATTTACATTTATTCCATTGCTGCTGGAGACAGATATGCAAAAGGGAGCATCGAATATGCAGAGGGAGACTGGCACCACAGGACATCTCCTTCCTGTCTTACAGATGGATTCTGTGAAGGACTGGTGGCAGTGGGAACTGATAGGACCCAGCAAACCTCAAATATATGTAGACAAAACTTCATGCATTGCCCACAGGGACAGCAATGGATCCTAAGGATCTTATTCCCTTTTCTCCACCTATTAAAGGTGTTTAACTACAGAGAAAATCCAGTGGAGATTCTTTGTGGTCTGTGGAGGGGGGGCACCTGTAGCATGAAGTTCTGCCCTGGAACGTGGTCAAAAACCTCAAACAAAGCTGTATTTTTCAAGCTATTAGTGGTGGGCTGAGAGGGGCACCATGTGCTGGGATTTAGTATTGAATTGTGTTAAAACCCATCTGCCACAACAGCCTCAAACCAACACCCTGACAGTGAGGCAGAGATTTGGCACATGACTGGCAGTCAGCCCCTGTAAGCTACAAAAGTCCAGCCCAGTTTTCACACATATGAAAACACATATTCATACATTTTTAACCTATTCCTCTTTGGAGTGTGTGTGGACATTCATCCTTTAGGTAAAGGATGTGCCCCAGGGATGTCCCTCAAGGCTGAGTGAAAAAGATTTGCCCTCAGTCATTGGCCTGGGTGAGTTACATCAACCTCTAATAATTGTTTGCATTGGTAGATTTAACATGATTTCTTCAATATTGCTTTGATTTAGTGCACTATCCTATCTGATACTGTAATACTAGTTTTAGCTTTTATGCTGCATAGTAAATAATAATAATAATTCTGATTGAGTTCTTTTGTCTAATCATTTATCATAAGAAATAATCTGTTTTCATGGACATATATCTGATTTGCCATCATTAAAATCCGAGGGACAAAGTTGTAAAACTCAGACTGTTGACAAAGTCCGGGGATAATCCTGGTTCCAACTGCCCCCAGGCTCCTCTCTGAGGAGTTCAGAAAGCAAAGGGATCCTCTCTGCAACTTATGACTCAATGGGAGCTTCTCTAACAAACTTTGTCTGAAGCTCGCACTCCAACCTTCAACAGCACCTCCAAAATGATGCAGAGAATCCTCACTGGAGAGGTGACCCAGCCTTATGGTGCATCCTACACAGCCAGGGTGATCCTACAGCAAAACCAGAGAACCAGAGAATATCCTGAGTTGGAAGGGACCTACGAGGATCATCCCAGCTCAACGCCTGGCCCAGCACAGGACAATCCCAACAATCCCACCCCAA